ATGTAGAGGGATTTTTTTTTCTTTTTCAGATTTGATGTGACATCAGACAATGCACAATATGGCGATGCTCATATAAAAGGAGAAAATTGTTATATTTATGTTGATTCCAAATTTGGGTCTATTATGTCTTGATGTTTGTCTGTGAATCATAATTTGATTTATTCTATGACTCCAAACTTACTCTGGCAATCTTTGAAAGGATTGAGCTACATGAATCTTAAGCGAAAATAGATTGACTATCTTAAGGAGTGCACTGTGCATTTATATAATGGAGCACATTTATTTTGTATCCCAGAATCTGAGTGGATCATATTTCTCCTCAATTCTTTTCTTGACAAGTGAAAAATTTTATTTTAAACAAAGCGCCAAAGAGTGCATCCTGTTTGCTATTGCTTTCAAATTCTAATAATGAGTTTCCCCTTCGTTTGGATTTTGATTGGAGTCATATTTTTTACTATACTGTACATCGCGTTATGCTCCTAAAGTTTCGGACTTTCCTGCTTGGAACATGTTGGCTTGAAGATGTTTGTTTTGGACCATAAATATATGCTTGCTTGGGTTGAGTTTGACACGTGTACCTCATGTATGTTTGGATGCAGGGCCGATCCTGTGATTGTTGGAGCCCGAGGCGAAATCCATAAATTAGGCCCTCGGCAAAATCAACGTAAATACAAAATTCAACGACGTATTATGCAACCTATTGCTAACTTAAAATATACGGCCACATGTTAACCAGTGTCCAATAACCAATTAATCATGTATTGCATAAGCCAAACTTATGGTGGAAATAAGTAAGAAACAATTAGTAGCAGTTTGCATGAGACCAACTTGGTAAAATGACCCTAAAATTTTGAATGTAAGTGCATCTCGACTGCATGGATAAGTTAAACCGTTATGGTTACATGCCTAGATTATTTGTTTCTAACTAAAATATTTTAAGGCTAGTGAACAGAAGGCAGAAACTTCAATGGATTTTTCTAATTTTAATGTTTAAGATAATGTTTATCAATACAACTAACTGTTGCGAGCTCATAATTTCTGTTTTGATTTTTTGCCCATTTGAGAATCTCTGTTTCATCAAATTCCTCAAGCAACCATATTTCCAGTAAACTACTTTCCACAACATATTAGAATTGCAAACTTCTCTTTGTTCACTAAGGGTGTGTTTGATTACATTTATTTTCCATGGAAAATATCAGTTTTCCATCCAAATTTTCACTTGGAGTGTTTGATTGCTATTTTTTTCCATGGAAAACATTTTCCAACTTTTGAAAATATGCCTAATTTTCCTTGTTTTTAAGGAAAATATTTTCCTTGGGTAGAGATGGTTTTTATTTTCCACAAAAGATGGAAAATATTTTCTTTTGTAGGTAATATTTTCCATGTCAATCAAACACACTCTAATATTTTATTCTTTTCGTTCTTAGCAATGCTTTCACAGAAAATAAACTGGAAGGAGGAATCTAAAATTTAAAATTAACACTGATCTGGATTCTCCTTTACTCCATTCAATTTTTCTTTCAGGAACCAAAAAAATAACTACATGTTCGCAAAGCAAGAGGGCAAACTTAACTGCTCACCTTCTTCTCGAGGAACCTTCGCCTGTGATTGAAGAGTCACGAGCAGTCGAGCAGGCCCTGGGAAAAATGGAATTCCGGATTTTGAGTTTCAGATTTGGGAATTTTGATTTTGGGTCATTGGATATTATGGATTGTGGGATATATAAGTTGGGTTGGGAAAATGTTGATTGCTGTTCTTGGATAATTGGTAATTGGGTCGAGGCGTGAGGCCTTTTTTAATTAAAAAAAATATATTTTGGCCAAAAATAGGCCCCCTTGCTTCTTGGGCTTGAGGCGCAGGCCTCATTGGCCTCGTCTTAGGATCGGGCCTGTTTGGTTGCAACTTAAACTATCTTCTTGATGCATTACATGCAAGTACCCTAAAGGAGTATTATGATATTTGTTCATAGTGCGGAAAAAATATTGCTTAACTGTTTAATTCTTTTTTTTTTTATCGATAAATGTAAATACCATTGATAAAAAAAGTTCATATACAAGTACACAGAGCATACCCGGACAAAACAAAAGCCAATACCACGTACAATTACTCCGGGCATACCCGGGAGATACATCAAAAGTGAAGTGCAAAAATAGTCATTGACTCAACGCTAAGGACTCGAAATGGGTCAAGACATCCGGATACAAAGAGAACATAACTTTGTATACGTGTATCTTAATCCGTCTCACAATACAATCCAAATTAGGTGAAAGGTCTTCAAAAATCTTCCTATTATGTGTTAACCAAATGTAGTAGACGGTACTCCCAAGTGCAATCCGCTTAGCCTTGTTAAGCCATGATGTACCTCAGGCCTCCTTTTTCAACCACTTCAAAGTGCTAGAAAATGTTGACATAGATCTTTTGATTCCGAGCCACTGTCTAATATTCCCCTATAATGTCAAAGTGAAGGAACATTCAAAGAATAAGTGTTTAACTGTTTCTGCCATATGCCCACAAGAATCATACTTGCGATCGATATCCAAGAAATGCAATTTGTCTTTTGTTAGGAGCTTTGACTGAACCCTAACCAAAGCAAAAAAAGACTGTCTCGAAGTAATGCAAGGTCTCCAAACATCGGCTGCCCAAGTCCTCTTTGTACCCCTCAGCCTAAAGAAATCATAGGCCATTTTTATGTTGAATTTAGGGCCTGTCTCCCAGTCAAGAAAACTGCCCAGAAATCCTAGAATTGGTTCCCTGTTATGAGCAGTCTGCTAGCCCATAAAACTGTCAAGATTCTGCTGAAATCGGCCCCTATTTTGAGTATGCACTGTCTATTGAATTGAGGCAAAATTAGCATATGCAGTCCGGTAATTTTCACTGTCAACTGGGGCGGACAACACCGCATGTCCATGTCCAAGAAATTGACTTCTATAGCCATTAATGTGTGTTGATTCAAAATTTAAAAAATCGTATAGGTATACTTGTTTTCTTTTAATCCCTAGTCAGGGCTGATCCTGTGATTGTCGGGCCGTGAGGCGAAATCCAAAAATTAGGCTCCTCAAAATCAACGTAAATGCAAAATTCAACAGTATATTATGTAACATATTGCCAACTTAAAACTTAACATTAGAACAACAAAAAAATATCTCAATCATCTCACAATTAATGAAAAAACTATTTTCCTTTTCCTTCTTCTAATATTTAAAAAAAAAAAAAAAAACTTTTGGGCCAAAATAGGTCCCCTATGGTTTTGGGCCTGAGGCACAGGCCTCATTTGCTTGGTCACAGGATCGGCTCTGTCCCTGGTCATATGATCATGTTTGACTGAGCTTATAAGGTGCTTATAAGCACCATTCTGGAAAAGTATGTAGAGGGATTTTTTTTTTCTTTTTCAGATTTGATGTGACATCAGACAATGCACAATATGGCGATGCTCATATAAAAGGAGAAAATTGTTATATTTATGTTGATTCCAAATTTGGGTCTATTATGTCTTGATGTTTGTCTGTGAATCATAATTTGATTTATTCTATGACTCCAAACTTACTCTGGCAATCTTTGAAAGGATTGAGCTACATGAATCTTAAGCGAAAATAGATTGACTATCTTAAGGAGTGCACTGTGCATTTATATAATGGAGCACATTTATTTTGTATCCCAGAATCTGAGTGGATCATATTTCTCCTCAATTCTTTTCTTGACAAGTGAAAAATTTTATTTTAAACAAAGCGCCAAAGAGTGCATCCTGTTTGCTATTGCTTTCAAATTCTAATAATGAGTTTCCCCTTCGTTTGGATTTTGATTGGAGTCATATTTTTTACTATACTGTACATCGCGTTATGCTCCTAAAGTTTCGGACTTTCCTGCTTGGAACATGTTGGCTTGAAGATGTTTGTTTTGGACCATAAATATATGCTTGCTTGGGTTGAGTTTGACACGTGTACCTCATGTATGTTTGGATGCAGGGCCGATCCTGTGATTGTTGGAGCCCGAGGCGAAATCCATAAATTAGGCCCTCGGCAAAATCAACGTAAATACAAAATTCAACGACGTATTATGCAACCTATTGAATACCACGTACAATTACTCCGGGCATACCCGGGAGATACATCAAAAGTGAAGTGCAAAAATAGTCATTGACTCAACGCTAAGGACTCGAAATGGGTCAAGACATCCGGATACAAAGAGAACATAACTTTGTATACGTGTATCTTAATCCGTCTCACAATACAATCCAAATTAGGTGAAAGGTCTTCAAAAATCTTCCTATTATGTGTTAACCAAATGTAGTAGACGGTACTCCCAAGTGCAATCCGCTTAGCCTTGTTAAGCCATGATGTACCTCAGGCCTCCTTTTTCAACCACTTCAAAGTGCTAGAAAATGTTGACATAGATCTTTTGATTCCGAGCCACTGTCTAATATTCCCCTATAATGTCAAAGTGAAGGAACATTCAAAGAATAAGTGTTTAACTGTTTCTGCCATATGCCCACAAGAATCATACTTGCGATCGATATCCAAGAAATGCAATTTGTCTTTTGTTAGGAGCTTTGACTGAACCCTAACCAAAGCAAAAAAAGACTGTCTCGAAGTAATGCAAGGTCTCCAAACATCGGCTGCCCAAGTCCTCTTTGTACCCCTCAGCCTAAAGAAATCATAGGCCATTTTTATGTTGAATTTAGGGCCTGTCTCCCAGTCAAGAAAATTGCCCAGAAATCCTAGAATTGGCTCCCTGTTATGAGCAGTCTGCCAACCCATAAAACTGTCAAGATTCTGCTGAAATCGGCCCCTATTTTGAGTATGCACTGTCTATTGAATTGAGGCAAAATTAGCATATGCAGTCCGGTAATTTTCACTGTCAACTGGGGCGGACAACACCGCATGTCCATGTCCAAGAAATTGAGGACTAGCAACCTTATGAAGCAATAGATCTCTAATTTCCCACAATTTTTTAAAGAGTGGAGAGTGATTTTTTCTAGAACGAACATCCCAAATACAAGTCTCTTTAAGATACATTTGGTGAACCTAACGAATCCAAAGTGTATCTTTTTTATGTTGAATATTCCAAAGGGATTTAGCAAGTAACGCTAAATTCCAACTCTTCAAGTCTTTCAAGTTGAGGCCTTCTTCATCTTTTAGGAGGCAAAGATCCTTCCACACCACCAAAGGTTTCTTAGAACCCCAAAGAAATTTTCGACAAAGGCTGACAATCCTTGAAATAATTGTAGTCGGGATAGGGAAGATAGAAAGCCAAAAACATTCAACACCTTAAAGAATCGCCCTCATAAGTTCCACCTTGCCCGCATAAGATAGTGAAGAGAAATTCCAAGCACCAATATAAGCTGTCATTTTATCAAGAAATGGGGTATGACAACTAACTTTGAGCTTTTCCGAAGCAAAGGGATGTCCAAATACCAGAATGTCATAGTACCTCTCGGGATATTTGTAATTTGAAGGATATCCTCAAGCGCTTATCCATTTATACCAGCTGTATACAAGCTAGATTTAAGGAATAAGGATGTTCAACCTTAAACCCGATACAAGACCATATCTTGAGAGGCAATCCATGAGAATTTGCACCGACATAACGTCCCCCCTAGCAAAGAGTATTAAATCATTCGCGAACGTTAGGTGGGTGATCTTTTCGGGGCCACATTTAGGATGATAATTGAAATCACTATCATTTGTGGATGCCCTAATCATTCTTGAGAGATATTCAATACAAAGCACGAACAAAAAGGGAGAGAGAGGATCACCTTGGTGGAGGCCTTTCCCTACTTTGAAAAAATCATCATACTCCCATTTAAAGCTATGGAATATGTTGGAGAAGTAACAGATTCCATGACCCATTATACAAATCTCGGAGGGAAGTGCAACCCTTCAAGCACACCTTTAAAGAAGTCCCAACTTATCGAATCATAAGCTTTCGCAAGATCAATTTTTAGGAGGCATCTTGGAGCAACCATTTTCCTATTGTATTGCCTCATGAGTTCTTGGGCAAGGTGGATGTTTTCCATGATACTTCTACCTTCAACAAAAGCAGCCTGTGCATGGTCCACAATATTTCCCAAAATAGGCCTCAATCTCGAAGCAAGAATTTTAGCAATCACTTTGTAAGTTACATTACAACAAGAGATAGGATGATAGTCCCCAAATTGTGCTGTATGACCAGATTTAGGCACCAAAGCAATGATTGTGTGGTTGATTTATTTGAGGATAGAACTCGAAGAGAAGAACTCCATGATAGCCCCAACAAAATCATCACCAATAGTCCCTCATGCATTCTTAAAAAAAAGAAGTATAACCATCCGGCCTGGGAGACTTTTCACCTCCAATACCAAAGAGTGCCTCTTTGATCTCCTCATAAGAAACATCCCGAATCAAGGAGTTACCTTGTTCCAATGAAACCAAAGGACCATTCCTAACAATTCCAGCTTAAGAGGCCGAGTTGGTCAGTTTTTCTCGGCAATGTAGTGTAAAATTGGACAAATTTCGTAGAAACTTGGTCTTGCGATATAGAATACATCCCATCCTCTTTGAGTATAGTAGCTGTAAAGTTCCTCCTTGAGTTCCTTTTAACCACCGAGTGAAAGAACTTTGTACATGTATCACTTTGCTTAAGGAAGATGCACTTTGCTTTTGATAATAAAAACTACGTTCCGCTTCACATAAACCGACGACTTTCTTCCTCAATTTAGCGACCATAAGTTGCAAATGTTCATTCATGGGTTGACTATGTAATGTATTTGGTTAGCCTCCAATTCACTTTTAGCCTCATTTGCCTTAGTCGAGATGTGCCCAAAATGCTTGGTATTAAGCTCCTTTAAAGCTCCCTTTAGTTTGCTAAACTTATTGCAAAGAATAAATTGCTTTGTCCCCGTCA